GTACTTGAAAAAAGTCGAAACCATGTCACATATTAATAAATTAGTCATTTTTTAAAGTTCAAATCTGACTAAATAAATAAAATGCATATATAAATCTATCTGAGATGTTGACAAAGATGTTATTTAACATAGCGGCCTATCAACGAGCGGCCGGCTTCGGCCGAGATACACGAATCTCAAATCACGCGGTTTCTGAGAAAACAAATCGGGAAAGAAACTTTCTGAAATTTTCGTTTGTGTTTATTTAATTAATTTGGAAAGGTGACAAAACAAAATAAAAAATATCACTTTTAGTTCAAAGAAACACTGACAACTCCACACTTATTACCAAACGCTTCAGCGTGGTATTATCAGGGGGAAAATTCTTTCCTACTCTCGGGTTCTCCACACTTGCCAGGGGGGAAACCCGTCTCGTTTCTCTATCGCGTCCCCTTGAGGTACGGGATCGGGGAAGTCACTTATACTTTACAGTCAAATAAGACACACACAACGAAATACGTTTCAACTCTCGTCTTAGTCGATCTGTGGAGCACTCTATAAGACACAGCGACCTGGGGAAAAGTCCCCAAGACTCTCACAAGGCTGAACCAAGACTCGCCCAAGACTGGACTGCCTCAAGGCTCTCCAGGACTGGACCACGACTCTGACTGCGTCTATCGTGCTGTGCTCCCCAAGACCAACTCAAACTCTCTTTATTCATTTTCACAACTCTAACCAATTACAAAGCAGTAAAAAGACTCTAGGGCGTAACCTTCAATCATAAAGCCAATCACACTAAGTACTGAATACGTCATATCTTTTGATTAATCGTTCACTACATTAATAACTATGGAAACCAACTGTCAAAATCGCGCCGGTTATCTGGTAATTAGTTCCAAATCACTGAGCCAAGTTCCGTCCAAAACTTCAAATAGGCCTAAACGATGACAGACATAACACAGCAATTCAGCTAATAATCAGCTAATTAAGTCGGTCAACAGATACGCGAATACCAATTCATGACACATCCCTTCACCCAAACTGAGATTGTGCCTCCTGGCATAACACGTTCATAAATCAAAGATACCGTCAGCCACTCATCGTCATAGGGTTAAATACAATACTAATAAAAGGAATAAATCAAAAAAAAGTAAAACACACTAATTAATAAACTGATTATAAAGTCTAAATACAATGGTTATAAAGTCTCAAATATCAACGGTTATGAATCAAAAAACAAGGGAAAGGCTACCAATCGACTCACTTTTCTCAAACAGTTTGCTGAGGTAACCCGTCGCTGCACTTTCTCCGTTACTAAGGTTACAAACTCTATACCAAAAGGTCAAAAAAAACTAAGGCATGGCGGTGGAACCAAGCGATCAGCCAATCGCTGCAGTCGACAGCATGATCACGTGATTACCAGGGATGCGTCTCTCGGTTAAAGCATTGCAAAGCGGTAACTAATAAACAATGAATAAAAAGCTATTAATCAAACTCCTGTCACTGTCATGTACGCTTATAAACTTCAACTGAACTCACAAGTCGTTAATCTAAACACAAGTCATACAGCGTGGAAACGGAATGCAAAGACAAATTCGCTTTCATAATACATTACTTCTCTGACAAAAAAGACGGGAAAAAGACTAAAACGATAGAAACTACTGAATTACATATAATCCTGTCAATCATGAACAAAAGCTTGCCTTATCAAACAATACATATATGGGCGCACCAAACTCTCATCCCAAAAAGATATTAAAAAAAACGTTACAAAGGTGCTCTCAACTCAAAAAGCGTCAGAAGTATTCCGGAACAACACGTAAACAAAAACAACTCTTAAAACGTCGGTATCTCTGTACTCGACAAATCTCAAAACTCTGAAAAACTCATTGGGGCATTACTTTCCCCATCATATCCCGTACTCATAAACTCATTAAAACTCCATAAAACATCACAAAACTCAAAACACTGTGTTGCAAATACTTGTCCACTGAGGCGCGCTTAAATCGTTATAAAGGACCTCGAACGTCCCTAAATATCATTTCAAAACAAAGATCTGGGCGCTTACATACATACAATTCAACATCACTAAAAAAACGGTAAAAACAATAGAAAAAACCAGCAATACATTACATTACTGAGCAATAGTGTTGGGATTGTGAAAAGAGTTCAACGTCCTTGAGTTACAGCGTCCGTTACAGTGTCCAATGAGCGGTCCTCTAAGCAATAGACAGATAGCTAAAGTTCTAATCAAAGTCTATAAGCGTCTCCTCTTGTCGTCGCGTTAGTCCGGGTCGTTCTTTTTCTTCATCTTGTCTTTAATGTCGCTCAATTCTTAATTATTCAGTATTATACGATACTCATCCTTCATAAGGGGTTCAGAAGTCTTCATCTCTTCAGCGTTGTACATCGGGGTCGTTCGGGTAAAGTCGTTAGTCGTCAAGCGCAGTTTCCGAGTCGTCGAGCTGTTAGTTCGGTTCACAAGAAAGACACACCTTCGCCATTTCACTTTCCTTCACAGGATGTCAATGTGTGTTAAACACCTGCCCGGGATCATCCAAAACGTATCACGGGGTAAATTCTTTTCTCTCTGGGTTCTCCACACTTGCCAGGGGGGAAACTCGTCTCGTCTCTCTATCGCGTCCCCTTG